GAGTCTGATTTTGAGTTGGTCCCTCCGGCTGTGTCGCGGAGTTCTCTGCCTCCTCCCAAGCCCCGCGCTCTTCTCCTTCAGCCTCTGTGCCAGCTGGAGCCGTGGTTTCGCCCCCTCGTCCCTCGCCGGGCAATTCCCCTGGGGAAGGGGAATCGGAGGAGCCTATTCAGCCTGGCGATACCCAGGCCCGTGTTGCCCTTGCCACTGAGATTGGGCATTTTTTGCGTCGGTCGATTGAGGGTGGTTATAGGGGTGTTTCGGGTCGGAACAGGTTGCGGTTGCAGAGTAGGCTGTACGTCGCCGGGGAGGCGGTTTCTCTGCGAGACCGCCTCTTGGATCTAGGTGAAGCAATTGATTGTCGGTTGGGGTGCTTACTGTTCCCGGCAGCGAGAGTGAGCAGACCCTTGGCCTAGTGCCCATAACTACGTTGGAGGAACGATGCCTCGTCGCCGTGCCGCATGCTTCCTGGAACAAAGCGATCGCGAGGCGACGTTTGCCCCGCGAAGGCCTGAGCCGAGGAGTGAATCTCGAAGTGGCTGCCCAGGGCGAGCCTCATATGCGGGCATATGCGGCTCTCGAAGTCAAGGTGCGGGTTGGTTTCTTGAATCCAGATTTCCAGGACTCTTGGACTGCAGTTTCCCTTCCGGGTGTCAGGGATCCCGGGGTCTGTCGCCGCCCCTCTCTTTGCTGGGCAGCCCAAGAACAGTTTGGATACGACACCGGGCTCGGGCTCGGACCGAGGAGGAAGTCGAATCAGTGGAAGACCGCGTGGGTGCCATCGAGCGAGCCCTGACCGCCCGACGACCTGCACCAGCCTCGCGGCCGGCCGCGGAAGGCTTTCCTGCTCTACCGGGTCTGGACCATGGGGCCCTGGCCGAGGCAAGAATTGCTGGGTCCCCGAAGCTCAACTCCGGTTGCTTTAGAAGCTCGCGCCCGTGGAAAGGATCTCCACCAAAAGCTGGCAAAGAATGACGATGTGCGGCTGGCTGGAGCACCGGTCGCACATACCCGGTTTAGCTGGTCCTGGACGGTCTGGTTGCCGACCAGGCAGCCATCGACTCCGGGCTGCTCGGGGCGGAATTCCTGTTAGATGCATGCCTTTGCGCCACCGGCCGGCTGGCTGCTGTCTCCCGACACAGGAACCGGATTGCGAGCCAAGGCGCTCGAGACAGCAATGGCCGATCGAGCTCCCAGCTCAAAAGGCTCCGGCACCGAAGTGGTACTAGGACTCGGCTCCACCAAGTCAGCGCAGAAAAAAGATCAAAGGGCGCGCGGGCAGCGTTCACTTCGCCGCCTGCTCGTTCTTTTCGTGCCTTCGGCCCTTCCGGTCCCCTTTTCCTCCTCCTTTCTCGTCTTTCTCCGGAGGGAAGCCCCTCCACCATGCGGGCGCCCACCACCGCCGCCCAGTTTGCGCCGGACCTCCACGAAGGTCTCGCGCGAAGGCGTCCTCTCCAGCTCGGGCCGTGATCCACGAGGCAAAGGCGTCATAGTAGCGGGTCCTCACAATGCAACAGTGGCCGGCTCAACAAGGCTGACCTCGGCTAGCTGTCGCGCCGGCCGCTCTGCTCGCTTTCTTGCTCCAGGGTTCTTGGCTTCACCGAAGCGTATGGAGCCCGCGACCCACTTCCAGAAACGCTTCGGTCGGCTGGCTCCTTCCAGGGTCCAGCTTGAACCGCTGCACGGATTACGACCCCGCAGCTAAAGGTGGCCGTTCTCGCAAGTGCACCGGAAACGTTGACCACGAAGCCGCGTGGCTTTCCGAGCAGCAAACTCAAGAAGGATTCCAACGAGACCCGGCCGGTGGAAAGAATCACACCGAGGTGGGCACACTGCGCCATTCGCACTGCGGCCGTGTCCCCCATGGCAACTGTCTTAAGGGCAGGGACCAGCCACGGCTCTTTTTCCAGCTCGGGCCGCATAGCTGTAACACTGCTGAGTCAGGAAGGAACAATGTGGGTTGACGAAGGCAAACTGACATTTCAGCTGCCTCAGACCGAGAGCTCTGCGCTTGTGTCCGCTGCCGGGCTGCAGCAGCACCATGCAACCGCGTCAGAAACTGCCTGCAGCTAATGTGACGCGACCCAATGGGTCGTTGAGCTCAGGCCTGCGCAACAGAGTAAAACTGGTCACGATCCGCGGCTGCCTGCTGCATCTCGCATCCATCTACTTCAGCCTGCCGTGGAGATCCTTCCTAATGAGGCATGCCAGATACCACATGGCCTTGCGGTGGATGTCAGCCACCATCTTCGGCACATCGACGTCATAAAAAGTACGCACCTCACAAACCAAGCCAACCCAACTCGTCTAGAGGACTGTCCATGCAAACCGAGGCCATGGCCCGCCGTCCTGTTGTGGATCGTGGGATGTGGGTAGAAGCATATTTGTTCGGATGCCGATAAATGGCAACGGCCAAGTTCCTGTTGTAAATCAGCTCCGACATGCTGAACAGCAGGCGGGGTTCCATCAAGTGCTCGACTAGCCATGGCACATCGCCACACGAGCCGAAAAGAATCTGGGCAAAATCAACACCGAGCCCAACTCCAGCCACGCCGACCACTCAAAGCTCTGTCTGAAGCGCATCAAGCGGCACATGAGGGCAATCCGCCAACAGCTTTTCAAGACGCGCAATGCTTCGGGTTCTATGCGGACGATGGATGGGCAATGGCCGAAAGAGGCTTAGGTCCAGGCATTGGCTTCGAAGCGTGGCCCAGACGACCACGAAAAAGTCCAGGCAACAATTTCGGACTGCTTGACGACCGGCTGCTCACGAACGGGGTGGCGCTCGTTGATACCAGGGCGTACTCGTTCTCCCTCTGGCTGATCTTCGGGTTGACAACCTTGCAGCAGCTTCGGCACGGTGACGAAAGTGGTTCATCACTTTGTCGCCCTGAGGCCCTGAGGTCTGCGCAACACAGCACGCCAACAAGCCACGCCAGAAATGACCAGAGCTGGGAAGCCAACATGTGGCAGCTGATGCATACATACAGGTGCAGTCAACATCTCAGGCGTCGTCTCAAGAAGAGCTTGTTCATAAGGAACGGCCTTGCATTCATCATCCATGTTTATCAGGGCAGCGCACTTCCCATGAACTGTCACTGTATCTTGGGACTCCGTGGCGCCGGCACAGAGCGAAGTTTCTCACGCACGGCCGGAAGGATTTATACCCCGAGTTCTTGTGGGTTCTGTTGGACTGAGTTCTTCCGTATGCAATGGCGGGATTCCGGAAGCAAACGGAGGGCAAACCCTGCACCTGGAACGCGCATGATCCTGCCTCCTAGTTATTTTGCTTACAAAATGGGAACAGTTTTTTGATCCCAAAAAATCGTGTTTTGATCTTTTAATTTGCCTGCCTCCTCTCTATTTTGCTTATAGATGGAGGAGCAGTTTTTTTGATCCCTTAAATAGTTTTTTGATCTTTTCAAAAAGTTTTTTATCGTTTGAAATAGCTTGGTTTAAAGCCTCACACTCCTGGGGGCCCGGCAATGCCCGGGACCCGAAAGCATGTATAGCTGCTTGCAGGGTATGAAATCTCTTTCCTCGATGTCCCTTTTGAAGTCGACAAGACAGATGTGATGTCAAGTGTTATCCCTCATTAGTTCGTTGCCTTTCCGGCTCATCAATACCAGAACCTTGCAGCAAACGCATAAACAGGGACAAACGAGGGTAAGACTGGCAAGAAACGAGAGAGAAAGTTAAGCTTGAGATTGGTGTGTCGATAAATTCAAGTCTTCAAAGGAATGTGTTCCCTTATTCGCTTGTTGTTCCTTGGATTGGCAGACTGGTTTTCTTGCGCGAAATCAATCTTGAAATTTCCGATCTCAAAATTCTCCCGTACCATCTGAAGACCAAAAAAATTTCCCGTGCATGTTCCAGTCCGCCCTCGAGCTTGTTGAGGCTTGTTTTGTGGTGCGTACGGTCGGGTTTGACGTGGGGTTTTGGCGGAGCCGCCACATCCAAGCTGCTTTAGAAGTCCCACGTTTTCCCAACAGAAGGGTGCTCCGTGAGGGGTGGGGGTCCGTGACAAGACCTCCCAACCCCTAGAGAACGAAAGGCAAGTGCGAGCGACATGGATCGAGCCGCCCCGGGAAGAGAAGAGCCACCTGTGCCCATGTGTTGCAAGTGCAGGTGGCAGGATGTGCTGAGTTTGTGTGGATGCCCTGTGGCGGTCCTGGAGACCTTTTCGTGTGTCTGTGTGTTGGCAAGAGTGTCAGGGAATCCGGACGAACTGAGGCTTTGATCTGGTTGACCATCTTCCAAAATCCCGTGGCAGGCGGCGTCTGCTGTCCTGCCGTCCTCCGCTCGGTTAACGTCTGACTAGCAATTTGTGGGGTGTCAGTTTGCACTTCCGCAGCCTCGGTCCACTCCCGGGATTTGTGTTAGTTTATACCGTATATACCATGTGTCTGTCAGAAGTGGAAGGCTCACCTACCCAGTCGTCAGAAGCCTTGTATCTTCAGAGATCTTGTTAACGCCAGTACGGGACTGGCAACTGGTTTTGCATGTGCATATAGCGCTTGAGAGCGGAAGCTGCGAGTCTCTTCGGTTTCGCACTTGAGCGGAGCAGGAGACTGACAGTTAAGAAGTTAGACCGGAGGAAAAATATGATGGAGTGGATACTAGTACTAAAAGCACTGCGGGACCTTCAACAACGTAAATGCATACATACGATCTTCGCAATTTAAAGCTGGGAGAGCATAAAGTAAACTCCCGTCAGACTTTCGGAAGAACCGACGGACTCCAAACTACCTTTGCAAGTACACCCCGAACAAAAGCAGCGCAAAGCGATGTGCGTGCTGATGTTTCAGCTGTGTAATCAAAATCAAGGTCATGTGCGCCATCATGATGCTGTTGAATTGCACATGCCTGGCATGTGCCTGCCGAGAAGGTGATCCTACGATTCGATCTGTGGTGCTGGAGGAAAAGCCGTCGATTCTAGCAGTCTGGCCCTGTGATGTGCTTCATGCCCTGTGCAGTTGCAGAGCATTGAGGTGGACCACCGCATGGTAACAGAGCCAGAGCGCCTGGGGCCAGAGTGGGATGTGCCCGCCCAAGCCTTTCGATTAATCTTCTGGGCTTGAAGCTTGTGGAGCGGGATTGAAAATCGTTGAAGCCAGCAGCAATCCACACAAAGAACACAAAGGGCAGAGGTCCTTGGACGGATAGGCTGCCGCAAGACAGCAGGGTCAATGCAACGGTATGGCTCGCAAGAAACGTGCAGCAGTGCAGGAGGTGGATTACGAAGAATTCAACAGGCGGAGCCGTTTAGCAGTCGGCTTTTCCCGAGGTGGTCTGGTCCGTGTTGTCCCGGTCCGCGCGCTTCGGGGCCAGGCCACGCCGCCTGCTCTCGGCTCTCTCTTGTCTCTTCCATTTTCGTTTTCGTCTTTGCTCTAGGGATCTGTTGAGGCTGCTGGATCCCGACTCTTTGGATCTGGAGGCCCCCTCCTGGGCGCGATGGCCCGCCGAGCTCCTGCAACATCGTTTCCTGTGTGAGCAGGTCAATGGCTCCAGAAGAAGCTTGGCCTTTGAGGAGAAGGCCTTACGTCCTGTTCTGCTGGTGCCTGGCCTCATGCGGCTCTCCCCATCGGAAGGATGACTTTATGATTCGTCTTGCGCTGCAGGACCCATGAGCTGGCTGGTCATGTCCGAAGCTTGCTTGCATGGGGCTAGCGTGCGTGCCGCAGGAGATTCGCGTCATGGAGGGCCATCATCAGAACGCATCCCCGGCACGTGGGCGACCGACTTGTTTGCAGTGCAGTCGGCACTGCCCGTGCTGCTATTGGAGAGTGTTGGATTCACCGAGGCTGCATACAGGCCCGCGCAGAGCATCTCAGCGTCTGGTGGCCAGTGGCGGGAGCGAACACGGGAGCTTAGTCCCCTTTGCAGGCTGTTTGGCGTGGATTTCATATGCGTCGATCCGTGGAGCGGCACAAGGTTCTGCACCCATCCCGCAAGACGAGCATCTTCTGAGCCCCTGACCCTCTCAGGTTCGAATGGTGCAAGCCGTAAGAGCGCTGCAACGTGGGGCTGGGTTCCCAAATTTCCCTTTGGAACTTCTTCGTTTCTCTTAACCATGCCGCGCGGAGTGCATGACAGGAAGCTGTCAGTATTTGTCCTTGCTTATGGAGAGTGGCCTGCCATGGGGCTTGCGTTTGTTTATTATTGTGGTTTGCGGTGTTCTACAAGTTATGCCATGCAAACGTGTATAAAGATGCAGGTCTGCCACAACCCCCTCCCCCCCCGACCCCATGCCGGCTGTGGCCTGTGGCGGTGCCCTTCCCCCGCGTCCCCGCCCTGCCCCTCTGCTTTCGTCTTTGTGGTGGGCTCTGCACCCTCCTTAGCTGAGGCTTTGGCTGGCCTGAATTGGAGTACGCAACACGTGTAACACAAGGACCTGTTGTCACGATTGGTGACTCAACTTCCCCCACCCCATGGTATCCTCCCCCCGGCCGTGCCCTCCCCCATAAAATTAGCAAAAGGTTGGTTCTGAGGCTCTCAGCTCCGCCCTGCCTAGCACCCCTTGATCATTATACATTTTTAGGCGTCCGTTATATTAATCTAGTTCAGTATGCCCAAGTCCATTCTTGGAGCATATTTTGCACAAATTACCTTATTCATTTCCACACTACCGCACCTCTGACGCTTTTACACAAATTGTACCGCAATTTCTATAATTTCCCAAGAAATATTTACGTCCTACCTCCTTCATGTTCTTAACACAAAGTTTTTATATTGTAGTATTGATCGTTGTTCTTGTCTAGGGCTTTTGTTCTGGAAGAGTTTTTCTATGTGTTTATTTGTTGTCACTGTGTCAATTTATGTTGGGGTTTTGGTATACTGTTGTAGTTTCTGTGGTGGCTTGTCTACATCTGTAACAGGATTTTTGTAGTAATATGATTATGAACGCTTGTGATTTCTTATGTTTTTTCTGATGTTTAAATGTTTCGTCAGGCCGTGTTTGTCTATGTTTATAAACAAAGCATTTACAAACAGAGCACTCAATATATTCATTCTTGTATCCATTATTACCTTCTTTCAATTCATCTTTATGCTCTTGGTACTAAGCTTTGTTGTGTTCTTCTATTTTGGTGTTGTTGCATTTTCTATATCTCCATCCCAATTCGGCCTCAGGAGACAACTCGGCGTCATGTGGTGTTACAATTCGGCGTCAAGCATGCGGCTTCAGGAATTCGGATTCGGCGTCAGGTCGTTTGCCACACTCTGCCTTCGACTGTAGACTCTATGCACACAGTTCCTCACAAAGATGCAACATGATGCTGCTTTGCGCTTTGCGCGCTTTTAAGTGGCTTTTGTACGAGGTCATGGGTATTACATGATGAACGCCGTGCAGCTACAACTGCAGCTGCAAGTTTCTTGGCGGATGTTTTTGCTCTAAGGCTCGACGCCTGTTGTGGCGAAAAGACATGGCGGAGTACGTCAAGGAGCGACAGAGACCAAGAACCTGCGGCCTCGCTGTCTCCTAGTCAGTCCTAGGAATATTTGGGCGAGATCGATGAACTGGACTTGCTCTTGGACGCGAAGGCGCTCCGCAGTTCTCCGCAGTTCGCGTGCTCAGCTTCGAGCGCCTCTGTGCACTGGCCCCTGCAGCCTGGCTGTTCGTTTCTTGGGCAGCACGGGGTTCAGGAGATGCTGCGACGCAGGGCGTTGAAGCTCATCGAGGCAGGGGCTGCAAGCGGAGGAGTCTGATATTCTTGCCAGCTGTCTTCCCGAGCCCGCAGCCGGGCTCAGAGATGAGAACCATCCCTGTTTTCGTGGAATTCAAGCATTCCGGCCTCTGTGACTCCCATTTTGGAGGCGCCCACAGATTTCGAGCTTTTGAGAAGTAGGCAGCGTGGCCATGACAGCGCGACAGGGCGACAGGCACCAAAGAACCCAACCCTTCAAGATCCTCCAAGCTGCAGTTTACTCTTGAAACCTTTTCGGGTCTGGGGATCGAACAGACCTAAGCATGCCTACAGTGCCTCTGAAGCAAGCGAGTTTGTTGGGGTCGCCCACGTCTTCTCAAAACAGACTCGGCTGCCGCAGTAAAGGCAGAAATTTGTCTACGGACCGTTCGACGCAAACTTGCGGGAAGCTGACAGAAGCACTTTCTGTTGCCACTCCATTAAAACGGGGTCCGATCGATCACCTGGCGGACCATCTTGAGCAGACGTCCGAGGGGGAAGCAAAGCTGAGTCCACGTCAACGCATCAGCGTCACCCATCATGTAACGAGTTTGGTGCTGTGTGTCGCTTGTGGGATCAGGCTTGCACTTGGATGCACCGTCATCTTGGACCGTAGGGGACCTCAGGGCCCGAATTCAGGACAGCGTGACTGGGCACGAGAAATTCGGGGAGGGGAGGGGCTGACAGAGCGCAGGAACTGACAGAAGCACCGCTCCTTCGGCAGCGATTGGTCCTCGCTGAGGCGACGGCCAACGCGCGGGGAGTCCGTCGGATGTTCCCGTCTCTGCTCTCGAGAGGCCCTGGAGGAGACGGGTGAAGGCGGCCCCTTTGGCTCGGGATCGCCGTGCTTGGAAAATGGAGAGTTCTTGTCCGGGATTCTGCCACCGTCGCGGGAGCTCCGCGTCGCTGCGGTCCCGAGCTCGGAGCGCCAGGCGGCCTGGCAACTGCGCGCCTTGGCACGACTGGTTTTGGTGGGAGCGACGTGCGAAGAGTGCACGACGTGTTGACAGCTCTGCCAAGGCGTGGGCGCGCGGCCTGCGGCCTTAGAGGAAGCACCCGATGTCATCCGGGACGATTTCGCCGTAGTATTGGAGGCCTCGAGAGGGAGAAGATGGATACATCTGCAGCTGTACAGTTCTTTGGCTCTGACAGGCCGTCTGCCACTGCGGGGAGGCTTTGCAGTTCGCTTCGGAGCAGCTCCGGAAGGACCGGACCTTGGTGCAGGCCGCCGTCCGCCAATCTGGTGCGGCCGCGAGGCGGCAAAGGATGTGAGATCTTCAGAGTCCCCAACCTTTCCAAGCTTCAGCTCTCGTCAACTCTTCTGTTGTGCAAGTGCCGAGGCCCTTTTCTACGCATCAGAGGAGCTGCGAAGGGACGGCGCTTGGGTGCTGGAGCTTGGGAGACACAGCCCTGGGGCACTGGTGGCAGCTTTGGAGGCGCAGTCCTTGAGAACTCTTTGCTCTGCAATGCTCTGCATTCTTTGCTCCCTTTTCTTGGCCTCTTCCTTGCCGCTTCCGCAGGGTCCGCTGGCCACTGACCGGGCATTTCTCGTCGGCGCAGTGGCTCTCCACCCGGTGATGCTCAGCAGGGTAGGCGAAGAGATTCGCTCCGACCGAGACTTCCTGCTGGAGGCCTGGAGCCCCTGGGAAGTCCGGAAACTTGCGGCTTTGTTGCACGGAGGTCCTGAGCCAACGCGGTGATGCCTTGGCCGGGATCTTTTTGCAGGGCACAGCTCCCGGTCCCGTCCGGTCCCGTCCGTGCCCCGTGTCTCAGGCGGCTTTCTCCGAGGAAGCTCGTGCAGACAAGGAGATGGTGATGACGGCGGTCAGCAGGCCGGCCCGGGCGGTGCCGGCAGCTTTGGAAGCTTCGAAGTCGAAGTGCCTCAGGTTCGGCGGAGCACTGGAGTTTGCCTCCGAGGAGCTGCGTGAGGATCGGGAGGCCGGGCAGCTGTGGAGAAAATCGCCCCGGCCGGCAGCGCTGTGAGCTTCTGCGCCCTCCTCCTCCTCCGTCCGCTGTTTTTGCGAGGTGGTGCAAAGAGCCGTCCTGAACGGGGCCGCCCTGCCTCCAGGCTTCAACAGCGACCGCGAGCTGGTGCTCGAGGAGAGCCTGCCTGGCCGCTCCTTCCCCCCAAAGCAGCCAAAGCACATCTGTCGCACCCACGCACTTTCTTTCGCTGAGCTTCACATGAACACATGCTATCCCGTCGGGTGCGCTGTCGGAGGCTGTTCGCTTGGACGGAATGGCCCTGGAACTCGCCAGCAAGGAGCTCCGTGATGACGAAGAGGCGGGCTTGCGCTGGTCGAGGGGACTGGGATCTGCCAGAATAACCTCTGAATCGAGGTGGTGATGACAGCAGTGCGACAGAACGGCCATGGAAACAGGCTCGTCCACGATCTGCCAGAGGGCAACGCAAGAGGGTGCGCTCCTTTGCCTCTAGCTACAGGTACAATTACATGTACACTCCCCATCCTCAACACCCTTCTCCTTTCTTTGCCAGTGTTTTTGGCGCATCTGTTCCGTCTGACATTGATAGATTACTCTTAGAGTGGGCACACGTGCAGCTGCTGAGCGGACTAGCAACAGATGTTCCCTTCTCACTTCGTGAGTCTTTGCAGATGCCATGTGCGCGAATTAGGTTGTCCAACTGTGCAGGTGGGCTTCACGTCGACTTCGATCCAACAGGACGGGGACCGACACATTGCTTGATCATGTCAGGGAAAGCGTGCGTTGGACATGTGCGGAGTGTGGCGCGGAAAGTGGATTCTTCGGTAGTTTTGTTTCACAGGCCCCACATCATCTCAGCAGACGTCCGTTGCCGATAGCAGCGTGTGCCAGTGACGGCTAGTGTCTCTGGAGTAACTCATTTCCTACTCTGCAGCTTGCAGGGCCTTCGTCTTGAGCGCTGTGCGGGTTGCTGGAAGCGACGTGCTCCAGCATGCAGCGGAGCTCAGCGGAGCTCAGCGGAGCTCAGCGGAGCTCAGCGGAGCTCGTTGGCGAATCGCCGAGGGGGCAGACTGTTTGCATTTCCCAGGCCTCCGTCCGGCTTCGGACAGATGGAACCTTTATGGCCTTGTTGGGTGCCGATGGCTGCACCGAAGAGGACATCATCTGCCGTGGCAAGCACGAGGACTTGGAGCGCTGATCACACTTCAGAGGCAAGGACTATACGATCTGTGTGCCTCTTCAGGAACAGATCCTCAAGCGCTTCCTTTTAAACGAGGTGCAAAAGACACTTAGCCAATCTTGCGAGATGCCAAAGGCGCTGCAAGATCTCAGAGTCTTGGAAGGAGTCTTGGAGGAGGAATGATCGTAGCAGGAGGCTCTCTTAATTGAGTGCAACATCCGTGTGGAGAACTGCCTGAAGGCAGTATGTCGAAGCAGGGACCGCCTGTCGGCAAAGCCGTCTGAGCACTGTTACAGCAGCGCGCTGACAACAGTGATGAACCCTGCGCTGTTCAGGCTGCTTCGGTGCCCCGTTGTCTGAATCCAAGTTTGTGCTGCAGGCTCGTGTTCGGAGATGGATGCCGGTGTCTCAGCACTGTGCTGAGAATGTGCGGTCTGGAATCTGTCTCTGTGCAGACTGCAGCGGAGTCTGCAGCGCAGGGAGCGGAAGGCCACTTGAGATCTCTGTCAGCCGAGCCAAAGCTTAGACTGCTCGGAGGCAGCGGAGTTGATCTGTCGCCATGCTCGCAGCTGCCTGGTTCGGCGCAGGTTGCAGCGCCCCTACCTGCTGCAACATAACCTTCCGGTTGCTGCTTTGAGAAATAAAGACCGTGTTCATGAGGCTCTATGCACAAGCCGATCTGTATGAGTAGGAGCCTCAGGTTCTGCAGCGGCACATCAATGCGCTGACACAGTGCTGCATGCTTGGATGCATAAGACCGGAATCGCTGAACGGGGTATCACAGGATGTGAGTCGAGTCGCCACGCAAAGCAGGATACCAGGGAACGTGCGACTTCTTCCCGGAGCCTCAGACGAGAGCAATCTCGTAAAGTGCCAAGAAATAGACAAGAGGTTAAACGACTGCATGCAGCAGTGTTTGACAGACTACAAGAAGATCTTGTACCATCCGCCCCGAAGCTGGGCTTCGAAGCTTCACGGGCTGGGAAGCTGCCGTAACCGTAGCCACGCGACAGAAAGGCGCTGTATGTCACTGCTCGCACCTGAACCCCTGAACCCCCTGAAGCTTTCAAGCTGCTCCCAAACGACATGGGATCCCTTCACCAAAGCCTTGTACCTGCAAGTGTCGGTGTAGCTGAGCATGAGCCCGGACAGTGTGATTGCCAATGTGTGGGCATTCCCTCGAACTGGTGTGGCAATTAGATGCAGCTTGTGCTCATCCTTTGCAGGAGTTGGCTTGAAACTGTTTTTTGTGCCAGAAGCCAACAAGAGCGTTGCGGCCTTCAAGCCAAACCCAGGCCATTCAAGCCTCAGAGTTCTGATTTCTGAGGTCTCAGACGTTCTATTTTCCCGAGCGGCATGCTTGGGAGGTTCTCGAGATCTCGCGCTGCAAGACCTGTACTTCTGTGTGTTCTTGTCAGTTCCACGTTTTGTGCAACCTGGTACTGCGGGCTCACGGCTGGCCGCCGGGAGCCTTGGTGTACCACTTTGACAACACGTTCCCAGGCTCCTTTGCAGTTCAGGTCGTTGCCAGCAGACCACGCATTTGAGGCCGCATATGTCGTGTGAGCAAGTCTGGGGAGTGCAGTTACAGCCCACACTGCATGGTCTGGTGCATGGTGCCAGCGAGGATGCCAATGTTTTGGGCATCCGTTTCCCAGAATTCAACGAGGCGGCGCGGCGTAGCATGGCATGGTGGCTTTGTTTCGATCAATACATCGTGATATGTGGCACATCGTGTAGGTTGCTGATGCTGTAGTTGGCAGCAGATCGAAATGATATTTCTGGTGCAAGGATCCCGTGTTGACTCGCTGTCTACATGCAAAATGCTGATTCTCTCATGTTGTGGCCCGTGGCTTACATCGTGGACGATTCCCATCGGCGGTGGCACGCCGTGGTTATCAGGGGAGGGGCCCTCAGCCGAGGCCCGATTAGTTAGGGTTTAAGTTTCCATATTCAGCTGCCAAAACGAGATGTGGAGATGCTGGAAGCCGCACAAAAAACGAATTTAGTATTGAGCTGTTGTGCAACGCACATGCCCATCTCCGTTCGTGTACGAGGAAGGAAAGCTCTTGTCTGGTTCACGCAGCGTGTTCTGCATGGGCCCCGAGACAAAAGAGCAACTCCAGCACACAGCAGCTTGACAGTGGCTCTGGGTTCCAATCATAATCATGTCTAGGATGTTCGCGAAAATGCTCTCCTACACAATCTCGACGGTTTCACCGCAGGAGCTAGCACGCAGAATCCTTGGCTATGACCCTGCCGAGCAGTGCGTTCCGCTCAATCCATGCAGGTAAGAGCAAAAAACGAGGCAAAGGCCCGGCGACGGCAAAGAGCACCGCTGCGGTGGACCTCCGGAGATTCGCCGGCCTGGCGGCCACATTGGCGTGCCGTGTTCAACACGGGCCCTTCGCAAGAAGCTGCAACTTTCCTGAAGCCACCAGGTCACAAGTCCCAATAGCCGCCTTGGAGTACGCTACAAAGACTGTCGCCGAGTCCTTTGCGGCCGTCCCGCGCGGACGGGAGCAGACAAGACGGATCTGCAGAATTACTATATGACTCAATGACCTCCCGAAAAATTGAATGTGCGGTGACGTGCAACTCACGGAGAGACAGAGATTGCTGCAGCGCTTTTCTTCACTTATCTAAGATTCAGGGGAGGGTCGCCTTGGAAGTCGGTGCGACAGTCCAAAGCAGGCGCCGCGACGAGACAGCACGCTGCGGGCACCCCAGTAGCCCAGGACGAACACAGGCAGCTAATGTCTGGTGCCTGCAACATCCTGTTGTCTTTCAGGCTGCGCTTCCTGGGTTTCGCTGGTCGGGTGGTGCTGCGACCGCTCCGTTGTGGAAGGCCAACAAGTCAGCAAGTTACCGAGCTGGCAGAGATGTCAGAGCCGAGATTCCAAGCGCATGCTTGGGACGGTCCCTTTCACCACCTGGTGGGAAAGAATGCCCAGCGCTGAACTTGTGGGTCTGAGCAGCGGGCTCAGCTGGGCGCAGCGTGCGGCCGTGCCGGCTTCTTGTGGCAGGAGCTACAAAGGAATGACCCAAAGGAGGGCAAAGAAGGGGGTGAAAGGAAGGCGACGTTGCAATGGGTGTCGCTACTAAGTACGATGCTCTGCACTGTTCGCGCGCTGCGCTGCAGGTCCGGCGCCGTGGCGACAGCTTCAACAATCGTTGCCGCAGGGTGAGCGAAGGGCGGTTTTGGGAGCGGGTCTCGCGTGAGACCGGTCTCTTTCTGCCTTAAGTCAGGCCTTCCAGAACTCCTGCTGCCCCGGCCCACATCCTGTACGCATCGAGGCGGGCCCCGCGGAGCGCTCCGCTATGCCCGCTTTAAGCTTTGGGTCTGAAGAGGGCTAATTAGGGTTTCTCTGCTCGAGCCAGGCCAGGGCTCAAGTGCAAGACTGCGTCCTCCTGAAGGCGGCGTGTTGCGGCGGTTGCGGCGGGCGTGGTGGTTCGCGGTCCTTGTGCTCTGCAGGAGTTC